AAAAAAAAAAAAAAAAAAAAAAAAAAAAAAAAAAAAAAAAAAAAAAAAGAAGAAATACCTGTATATATACATACAATAATAATAAATCCTTATAGTCCTCTAGGTCTCCATTGGTTAGATAATAATAATAATAATAATAATAATAATAATAATAATAATAATATAAATAATTATTATAAGGAAGGAGACATGGAGACAGTATTCACTAAGGGACAATTCTCTAAGACTGTCTCCTTTGAGGTGTATAAGGAGTATATAAATATATCCTTATGGACCCATGACGATTTGTCTCCTTTTCTTCTTTATTCCTTAGATATAAATAATAATATAAATAATAATAATAATAATAATAATAATAAGAGGAGAGAGCTACTGTCTCTTACTACAGATATAACATTTAATAGATTTTTTATGTATATAGCAGAGAAAGGAGACAAGGAGACAGTTATTAATAAATATAATGCTAAGGATATAAGTAATATATTTATCCAGCCCCCTTTATGTGTCTCCTCTATACAATTGCATGCACCTTGTTGTCTTATAACTATATATGATGATATAGATAGACAAATAAATCCTTATATACTTTTTCTTGATAAGGAGACAGGTAACTTTATATGGCTAGAAGGAGACACATTAAATACTATACAAATAAAAAATAATTGGCAAGGATTACGTATGCCCTTATTGTCTCCTTGTAGTCTTGCGTGTCTACCTAGGGACAGGCCTACAGAGGAGACAGCAACAGAGGATAAGGAGGAGACAGGGGATAAGGAGGATATAACAATAGGGGATAAGGAGGAGACAGGGGATAATAAGGACACAGGTAATAAGGAGAAAAAGGATTATACACCATGGGGTATATATGATTGTTATATAGCAGATAAGGAAGGAGACAGAATTATACATATAGAGATAAATGCACAAAAAAAAGTCTCCTCTTTTATTAAGGAAATTATTTATGCAGGACAAGAAGGAAAAAATAGATTAAATAAACCTATACATATTGTTGCATTCAAGTATAAGGGACAAACTCTCCTTTTTGTTGTACAGGTACGACTGTCTCCTTTTATTTATTTATTTATTTATTTATTTATTTATTTATTTAATTTATTTATTTATTATTGTTGTTATTGTTATTGTTATTGCTATTCTTCTTCTTCTTATTATTATTATTATTATAATAATATATATATATGTGTATATAATTAACACAAGAGCTGAACCACCATCAGCAGCAGCAGCAACAGCAGCAGCAACAGCAACAGCAGCAGCAACAGGAGGAGGAGGAGGAGGAGGATGAGGAGGAGGAGCATCATGATGATGAGTTATAGTGTATATATGTGTGTTATATGTATACAGGAAGGGAAGGTAACAATAGACTTAATAGTACCTACAGGGGAAGGAGAGGCAGACTATCATAGCTCAACAGAGGAGACAGCAGGATTAAGATTAGGTTCCCCTACCTCTGCATTCTTAGTAGAGGTAGGGGAGAAGGGGACAACAGGGGGACTAGATTTTGCTCGTCTAGCTGTATATAGGAGACAATTGGAGACAGTATATGTACAATCTATTTCCTTAGACTCTACTGCTGTTGCTCCTTCCTTTACGTATACGCATGCAGATTGGTATACAGTAGGGGACGAGGTCCTATTAGATCCATTAATAGCAGGAAAAAGGACAACAATAAATATATTTAATTCTTTTTATATAAATCCTAATATATCTAATTATATATATATAAAACAATTAGTAAATATAGATAAAAAAAAAGGTACATTATATATAAATATATTACCTATTAATACTAATTATTATACATATTCATCTATTATACAAATAAGTATAATAGGACAAGGAGTAGTTAATGAGGTAAATAGTACAATAATATTTAATATTGCATGCAAGAATGGACATTTTATGAAGAATAATATGTGCCCTAAGTGTCCTATTGGTACTTATAATTCTTTATCTATTATAAAAAAAGCCCCAAAAGATAGATTAGGTGCATGCATGCCTTGTGAATATAATACATCTACTGTCTCTGAAGGAAGTACATCACAAGAACAATGTATATGTGCTAAAGGATATCATCTTGATGAACAAAATCCTCAACAAGGATGTGTACCTTGTCCTCCAGGTAATCATCTTCCTTTTGTTGTTGTTGTTGCTGTTGTTGTTGCTGCTGTTGCTGCTGTTGTTGCTGTTGCTGCTGTTGCTGCTGTTGTTGTTGTTGTGGTGGTTGTTGTGCCGTTTTTCTATTGCTGATGGTTCTTAAGTTGTTGTTGTTGTTGCTGCTGCTGCTACTGTCGCTGCTGCTGCTGTTGCTGCTGCTGCTGTTGCTGCTGCTGCTGCATGTGCATATATATACTGTTTGTTGTTGTCTACTGTCTCCTTTTTTTTAGGTACATGGAAGGATACTGTCTCCAACACGGGGTGTCTAGGCACCCGTTGCCCAGCTAATTCCTCTACTACTGTTGTAGGTGCAACAACAGCAGAAGAACGTAAATGTGCATGGTAAGTTGCTGCTGCTGCTGCTGCTGCTGCTCCTGCTGCTAAAAGGAGACACATTATATATTAGAGACAATAGGGATCTATGCATAAACACACAAATCTGTTGTTGCTGCTACATTTGCTGTTGCTGTGTCTGTTGAGGTTGCTGTTTCCCTTTGCTGCTGCTGCTGCTGTTCCTGCTCCTCCTGCTGCGTGCATGCAATCTCTTGTTCCTGCTGCTGCTGCTGCTGCTGCTGTGTCTGTGTGTCTGTGTACAGCAACCCTGGTTATATATATAGTAAGGAATTAGATTCATGTATATTAGCAGGAGAAGGGACATTTTCTCCTGGTGGTTATAAGGCAGTAGCGTATGCATGCCCATTAAATACAACAACAGCCCCAAACTTACTGGGGCCCTTTACGTCCCTACAGGACTGTGCATGCAATAAAGGGTACGAGCCTGCAGCAGCAAAAGATCTACAAGACAGCAGCAGCAGCGCATATTTATTTCGTGAATGGTTACGTAGCTTACCTGAATATGCAGGTATAGGGGACGAACAAGTATGTGTCCCTTGTGGGTATAATCGTTATAAGGAGACAGTATCTGCAGATAAATGTCTCCCTTGTCCTCCTAATTCTTATTCAAGTTCTTATTCCCCTACTAGTAAGAAGGACTGTGACCTCTGTCTCCCTGGATTCTATGAGACAGAGAGCGAAGAATATCTATGCGGACAGTGTCCCCCTGATTATATCTGTGTAGGCAGCCAGCCTCCTGTTGCTTCTCTTGTTGTTTATGCTGGTATTAAGAAACCATGCCCTGAACATTCTAATACATTAGAGGGACGTGTACAAAATGATCATCCTTATAAGTGTTTGTAAGTCCTAAACCCTAAACCCTAAACCCTAAACCCTAAACCCTAAAAGTACCCTACTGGTAGACCCTCCAACCCTGTATAGACATGATAAGAGAGACAGTCATATATATACAAGCAAACCCTTATTGAGACCTGTCTGTGTATGAGTATGTGTATCTTTTGCATGCATTTTGGGGCTTTTCTTGCGTTCATGCATCATTACTTATTTGCTGCATGCATGCATGCATGTATGCGTTGTGTGCAGGTGTCAGCCTGGCTATGAGGCTGTATTCCCCTCTTGGGGCTTGGGGATGATTAGTTGCCGTGCAGTAGAGAAAGGGAAATATAAAGATATATTATCTAATACAGCAGCAGAGACTTGTCCCTTTGGTGCTAAATCAGAGACAATTGCTGCTTCCTCTTTGTCTCTTTGTGTATGTAGTGCTGGAGAATATAGAGATACAGATACTAATAAATGCATGGTAAGCAATTGTCTCCTTTTGTCTCCTCTTGTCTCCTTTTGTCTCCTTTTGTCTCCTTTTGTCTCCTTTTGTCTCCTTTTGTCGCATTTTGTCTCCCTTTGTCTCCTTTTGTCGCATTTTGTCTCCTTCTCTGTGTGTGTCTCTGTCTCCTCCTTTCTTGTTGTCTTCTTCTCTGTCTATCTCCCTCTCTTGTCTGTCTCATCCTATCCCTCCCTCTTGTTTTCCGTGTCTCTCTCTCTCTCTCTCCTTTTATACTGTCTCTGTCTCCGTATGCCTCTGTCCCTCAATGGTATATACTCTCCTCCTTATTCTTACAACTACTTATTATTGCCTGCATATACTATTGTTATTATTATTATTATTATTTATTAAATATTTATTTATTTATTATATATTAATTATTTATTATTATTTATTATTGTGTATTTGTTAGATATGCCCTAAAGGGTATTATTGTCCTGGTGGATTTGACAGAGAAATAGGGAAAGAGAAGACAAAAGTACGTTGTCCTATAAACATGACAACAGGGGAGACAGGAGCAAAGAGTGCAGGGGAGTGTATGTGTGGTGAGGGTTATTATCTACCAGTCTCTACAGCAGCAGAGGAGTATAAGAATTGTATAAGTTGTCCAATAAATACATATAAGGATAATATAGGGAATTCTTTATGTAGGTCCTGTAACGATAACTCAGGTACTAATTATATTACAGGGGCTACCTCTGCCTCTCAGTGTATATGTAATGGTGGTTATTATTATAATGAATTAATTAAGCAATGTACTGCATGCAGAGATAGTAGGAAATATTGTCCAGGGGGAAGTGTTGCATGCACAGAACAAGATTCACCCTCTTGTGTACATGGATACATGCCAGCCCCACCTATCTCTTGTCCTATTCATACAAGAATCACCGCAGGATTTGATACTCCTTCTAGTCCTAATGATTGTAAGTATATACTCTCTCCTTTTCTTCCCTTCTTTCTCCTTTTCCTTTCTATCCTTTCTTTCCTTCTTATTGTCTTTTCCCCTCTATCTGCATCTCTCTGTCTGTCAGTGTGCCTCTCTCTCTTCTTCTCTGTCTTGTCTCTCTCTCTTTATCTCTTCTACCTCTCCCTCCCTCCTTCTCCTCCCTCCCTCCCTCCCTCCTTCCCTCCTTCCCTCCTTCCCCCCCCAATCTTCCCTAACATCTTCATTCCCTGTATTCATACGTACGTTCA